GCAACTCATCGACAACGTAGAAAGCGGCTTCAAATTCCACCAGGAAAAAGTGTTTCTGTTCAAGACTCTCAAGAACCCTCAACCAGTGATCGAGTTAACATTTCAAATAAATTTGTTCGTACTGCTCAAATTTTTTCAGTTCACCCTGTTTTAAGGTAAATACTTATATCTTTGGTCAAATAATATAGTCAAACTTTGATTTGTGTATATTTGTTAAATATCATTGTGTAAGGTATTTAACTTTCACAGATAAATAGAAAAACTGTTTTAGAAAAACAAATTAAAGTGACTGTATAGACTATATTAAATAAAATAGAGCAATGGCGTAGATTCTAAAAGAATCTTTATTTAATAATGATAATAAAATGGTAAACGAGTGCTATTAAATTAGAGGGCGTAAATTGAAAATAGGTTTTTAATTATATCTCGAAAACGAAGCAAAATTCAGGTATAGTTATTAGGATTTTTTTTGTAGAGAATGCGATTCCCCATTGAAATAGTTTATTTAAAACATTTAATTTTTTTTACGCAAAAAATATTAAAAAAAAGATTTTAATAAAATGCAAAACTGCGATTTTTTTTTATTTTTGCTTTTTCTGCGTTTACTGAGCAGACATAAAAAAGTAGACTAAATTTCCTTTTTAAATGGTGGGTTAAAAAAGTTTTTTGGATAAAACTTAGCTATTTTCTTTTCGATTTATAAACAAAGTCACAACATTGGAAGAAAATGTGAAATTTATAAATAAAAATATTTTATAATTAAAATTTTTATGGCCACGTTTTTAAGCGACAATGCAACTGAAAAATAAAGAGAATCTGCATCAGAATTCATTTTATCTACTCTATTGGGTAAAGCTAAATAAGACCTTAAGCAACTGTCGCTTTAAGCTTTTCTGCAAAATATCAAAAAGTGCAAAATTTCATCATACAGACAACACGCAATGTCACTAAGTACATATCTAGTTTAAGAAGATATATTTACAAATGCAGCAGTGGAGCGGTAATTATTTAAACACTCTTGCACAAATGAATCATATGTCAGAGATTTTGCTTAAGAAAGTGGCTTGTTGATGTACCACAAGTTGCCATGGAAGCTGTAGTTGTATAGCAGTGGCAAAAGTTAAACAGGCCATTGGTAGGTAGAGAGAGTGTAAACTTCAAACCACGTCGGACGACTTCGAGATTTTCGCCGCTGATTATCTGCCAGTGATTTTTCATAGAATAAGTAATTTTAAATTGGTACCGTCGGAAACGGACAATCACATGTATTTATGGATTAGAAATAATAATTAAACAACTATTATCCCAAATCATAATTCTACAAAATTTCAATATCTATTTTTATAAATTATTTTAGCAAAATATTTACTCGAAATTGTTATTAACATCTATAAAATAATTTTGTACGCTACTGTATTGCGTCCACTTCGGTTAGCTCCACTGACAAACTGTCAATTTCAGTATACGGAGTAGGAGAACTGGCAAAAGCCTTTCCAACTTCTTCCCCTGCTATAGAAAGTTAGAAATAACAGGAACAACTTGTTCAATATTTTGTAAACAATGCATGGATGTCAATTGCGAAGACATAGACAAAGAAATCGATATCCAATGTGCTAACATTATTGAAAAAATATAAAACAATGAAAATAATGAACAATAGAAATAATAATTATTAGTATAAAGTAATAACTTTTATTGCAAAAAAGTCAATTTTTAAGAATAATTAGTTGTGACTTTATTTATAAATCGTTTACAGTTTTATATATTCGTAAAACTATTGAAATTTTATTAACAAATTACCTTAAAATACTTTTTTTTGTTAATAAAAAATGAATTTTGTTGTAAAAAATAAGAACTGAAAGGTAAACACGATAAAAATCGAAAACAATAGTTAAATTTGAACGGTATATCTCAGTCTTTTTATCCAGAAAACTTTTTTAACCCACCATTTTAAAGAAAATTTAATCTATTTTTTATATAAAGCAATGCCTATACCTATCTCTGCTCAGAAAACGCAAAGAAGGAAAAAGGTAAAATAAAACAACAAATGATTATATTGCTTTTTTAATTCTTTTTTTATATTTTTGCACAAAAAAAAATATTGAACTATTTCGATATGAAATCACATTCTCTACAAAAAAATTGTGTTAACTATACGTAAATTTTGAGATATAATTTAAACACTGTAAGGGTTGCATCTTCACCCCTATTTCTAATTTACACCCTCTAATTTAATAGCAACTCGCGGTTTTTTTTTTTATTTTTAATGACCTGCTGGAATTTCTCAAACCTCAATTTATAAGTGAATAACAGTTTTCGTTACTCGTGAGAAACTTTTTCATGCGATACCTGAAAAAAAAATTTCAATTTTATTTTTATTAGTTTAATTTTTATTTTTTATTTATTTTTACAATATCCCCCATTTCCCCCCTCCTTAATTTGTGAAAATCCAAAAACCTTGAAGTACGTCATTATTTACTTACTACAATTCCAGTTTTCAAATTTCAACTTTTAAAAAACCAAAAGTTTTATTCAAACTTTCACCTCCCGTTTCTGACCTTACTATGAAAAAATCTAAATACCCTGAAACATGTCTATTTATTTATGATGAGTACCTACAATTCCAATTTTCAAGTTCCTACCTTTAAAAAATCAATACCCCCATACAAACTTTGACCCCCACACCTTTCTTCTATTTCTCAATTTTTCTTCTTTCCCCATTTTCCCTCTTTTCCCCATTTCCCCCCTTTCTTCCATTTCTCCTCTCAAAATATGAAACCTGAAACACACCATTATTTATTTGTGATGAGTTGCTATATCCTACCTTTGAAAAATCGATACCCCCATACAAACTTTCACCCCCACACCTTTCCCCTATTTCTCCATTTTTTCTTCTTTCCCCATTTCCTCTCTTTTTCCCATTTCCCCTCTTTCCCCAATTTCCCCTCTTAAAATATGAAACATGAAACACACCATTATTTATTTGTGATGAGCTGCTATAATACCAATTTTCAAGTTCCTTCCTATAAAAAAATCGATACTTCCATGCAAACCTTCAATCCCCTTTTTTCCAATAATTAAAATAAAAACTATTATGTCTCTTAAGTTGGACCATATTATAAATGGTTACAAAATTTTATCAAAATCCGTTCAGTAGTTTCGGAGTTTATCGCGAACATACATCGTGACACGAAATTTTTATGTTATATAAAGATTAGAATACAATATAATATTTCTGCTTTTTGTATTCTAATAGAAATATATTTGTATTAAGTAGCCTCCGTAGCCTCCTCGTAGACTAGGCCACGAGTCGCCTTTGTAGCCTAGTAGAACAACCTAATAGTAGTTTCATTAGAGGTAATCCTGTCGCGACATCTGTTAGAACAACTACAAAACTTCATCAAAATGGCCCGTGTGCTAGCGCTTTCTCGATCATTTAGTATACAATTCTCTCTACACACACACACACAGTTTTCTTTATTTTCAATTTATTTGGGTAGATTGCCAGATTTAAATTAATATTGTTATATTCTCTAAAATGATGATAAATCGTAAATATGCATAGTAACCCATGCAGCACACATTATTTCAGTGTTTCAGAAATATTTCAAACATATAACATTTTAAGCACAAGTTTCTGAAAAATTTCTGAAATATTTTAGTTAAATATTTCACTGAAAATGTTTCTGAAACATGGTATACATCTTACACAAAAGGTTAGTTATTAAACATGTTATGTTGTAAAAGGCCAACACTTAATGAAGAATTTCTGATTTGTAATTATAAGAAGAAGATGGGATAATTGCTCGGAGGTTATTTTATTTCATTCTATGTCCAACCAGAGCCAACCCTATATTCTAAATAATTATAGATTTGAGTTGTCGGCTTTTGTCATTTCCATTTACCTAACCTGTGCGGCCTGGAGCAATTTAACTGATTGCTCTAACACAGGTTAGGTAAGTTAGTTAAGTTTTTTAAAACACTTAATTAACTCTTACCTAACCTGTGCGGCCTGGAGTCGTCGCGGTTTGCCTCGCAAAAAAATTATAAAAATAAAAAACTTAACTAATTTACCTAACCTGTGCTAGGTAGATTAAACTGATTGCTCTTGCACAAGTTAGGTAAGTTAGGTACGTTTATTTTAGGTAAGTTTACTTTATTTTTAATTTTTTGTTTTTGCGAAGCAACCAGCGATGATTCTAGGCCGCACAGGTTAGGTAAATTAGTTAAAATTTTTGTTTTCATTTTTCTTTCTACAATTTTATAAATATTTGATTTTTTGGTAAATTGCTTTCTCTATAAAATCTAATTTCAATCAATTCTCTTTTGTTCTTTTCGATCATTTTTCTGTTCGATCATTTTTATTTTAAATCAATTGTTATTCGTTAAAATGTTTTTTCGATAAAATGTTTTCGATCAAATGTATTGGATCGACTGTTTTCGATCAATTTTGTGCCACCCACTGTAACTAAATAATTCGACTCTAAGGTATACTAGTGAGTAGAATCTTAGTTTATGAAGTTTTTCATTCCTTGGTAAATTAGATTAGAATAAAATTGCTAATTGATCTTAATGATCAGATTGTAATAACCGTAAATGTTTCTTTACTTGTATTTTAAATGTATTTTTTTTAAGTCTAATAATATTTTAGAAAAAAGCTAGAATACATTTCTGAAATATTACTATTTAATATTTCTAAAGACTTAAAATTTTTATTTCAGAATTATTACTATGAAATATATTTACAGGACATTTTCACGTTTCAGGCATATTTCAGAAATGTTTCTGGCATGTTTCGTAATATTTATGGAACATTACAAATGTTTCAATGTAATATTTTTAAAATATTTCCGGAATGTGTTTGCTGTATGGGTAATGATACACAAAAAGGGGTAAGTGGGTTGAAAAAGGTTGGAAACACTGGATTATTATACATTTTTTATTATAAATAAATTTTTTTAGAAACCGTAAGTTTTTTAAAGATGGATTTTGTTACGGTAATAGGATTTTATAATGATTAAAATGGAACGATGTAGTAAGGGTTCTATTTTTGGTAAATCAAATAATTAAAGAGTGAAAATATATATTGCAATAAATAAATTAATAATAAAAGTATTTCCTAAAGTAAAATTTGGTGTCATTTGTGTTTTCCCTAATTATATTTAGACCGTATGTAAAACGTTGGTTCATCTGTTTAGGGCAGCACTGGGTCCAATATGGCCATGACATCTTCGAAAATTTTTTGTGTTGTTCTCTCAGCGTCAACCTGCAACAATGAAAAATACAGTTTGATAACATTAAATAGTAATGTTTTTTAATATGTAACTTAACAATAACAATAAAATGAGACAAAGTCGTTTTTATACAAAACTAGACTTTTTTTAATATTTGATCATTTTTATAACACAAAGTAATCATTTCCGTATCAGATCCATATCTTATAACACAAAGTAGTTATTCTGAACTTTAGTATAGACAATTCTGATGATAATAAATCTCGCTTGATTACCAATTCGTTGGCATTTTTTGATACAAAACAATACAATAGTATTCGTACTAATTATGGTTGTTTACTGAGCTTGGTATTAAGTAGTATGAAATATTCGGTAATATATGAAATACGATAAGTAATACAAAAAATAATCAAAAAATGTACAACTAAAAAAAGTTAACTTTAAAATACCGATTCGTGTTTTCTGGATAATTTTAGTGATTCTAATTTAGCAGTGGAAAGTTTCTATAATTAGGTCTACTAAATACCAGACGCTTATGTGGAAAGTTTCTATAATTAGGTCTACTAAATACCAGACGCTTATGTTCTACTTGACAAAAACTTTAAGCATACATATTCATTATAATACTCAGGTAAAATCTTTATTCGTAAAAAGAATAAAGAAGTTAATTCAAGGGCAGGGCCGGGTTCCAGTTCGGAACATGTTGGATGTATTTCCAACACAAACAATATGGCTTATTACGAAGAGTTCTGTAGACTTCAGGAGGTATATGCAGATTTTGTTAAAGCCTGCTTAGTAAATGAACCTATTTTTTTCGTCCATTTGTTCAAAGACCTACAGAAATTCCTGGGAAAATTTATTATAATGAGGTTGTTACAATACTCCTCAGGCATACGTTAATGCTTTCGGAAATTTCTTCGAAAGTGTTTACTGTTTACCGGATTCGGATGACACAAGTCTGAATAGAGCCACAACACCGTACAAATCTGACGAATCTGGACCCGGCGCATTAGGCTATGGTTATAGTGGATGCGTGTTCTGACGAACTGGCGTTCGGACGAACAACTCGTCAGAACATGCGCGAACAATTCAAATGCACAGCAATAAACAGTTGTGGTTAAAATAACCACATCTATTTATTGCTGTGTATTTGATTTTTTCGTGCATATTCTGACGAGTTCGTCCGAACGCCAGTTCGTCAGAATACGCATGCACTGTAACCATAGCCTTATACACCGTATATATTTATATATTATATCAGCATAAAGTTATGAACTCGAGATTCACAATAAATAACAATATTTAGTCAGAACTTTGCTACTTGCTTACTATTTTGAGTTTGTAATATTTTTTTCATGTTTATCTAGACTTTATGCCAAATGATTTACTATATAAATAAAGAAGAAAAACTAAGAAATCGAGCAACGGCTTTCCTCCGGAAAACAACTACTCCTCTGACATCGGATTTTATTTAGAGACAATATCTTTGAATATACCGTCAAACTTTGACACCAAGGGGCAACTTTGACACTATGAACATTTTTTTTGTTTTTTGTTTTGTTTTTGCTTTATACTAATTCTGCTATTGTTATAAGTACAAAGTAATTAAATATGGTAAGACACTACCAAAAAACTCCGGGAATCCAGAATTACAGAAACTATTCGGAAGAAGATTTAACAAATGCGCTTCAGGCCATTGAAGATGGAATGCCTGTTAAAAGGGCAGCAATTGTTTACAAAATCCCACGAATAACTCTTCGAAATAAGTCTTTTGGTAGACTCCAATGGTCGGTAGGTCATTCAAGTGTTCTCACTGCCGGTGAACAACAAGTGATTCGTGACATATTATGTCAAGTGGCAAAATGGGGGTTTCCATTTACCAAGTGTGATATTCGTGCGGTAGTCAAGAAATTCTTAGACAAACAGGGCAAAACAGTGCGCATATTCAAAGACAATCATCCTGGACCTGATTTTGTAGAAATATTTATTAAAAAAAACAATCTTTCCACACAAATCGCAACAAATATTAAAAAATCGCGTTCTTTCGTAGATAGGGCAGACATAATTTGGTTTTTTGACAACATAAGCGAAGCTCTAGGTGACATTGACAACAAAAACTTATACAATTATGATGAAACTAATATCGCCAATAATCCCAGTGCAAAGAAGGTCATTGTTCCCAGAAACTTTCGTAGGGTAGAATGGGTACAAAACTATTCTCGGTTCTGTATCAGTATAGTGGTCTGTGGTAATGCAGCTGAAGACCTTCTTTTGCCTAATGTTGTGTACAAAAGCGCCAATTTATATAAAAACTGATTTACCGACTGGCACTGTTTATGGGAACAGCCCTTCCGGATGGTCCGACATGAACCTTTTCGAGCAATGGTCCTTTAAATGCCTCTTACCCCACATAACAGTAACCACGGAACCGGAAACACGAGCAGTTGTAGTTGGCGATAACCTGGCTAGCCATTTTTCACCACAGGTTATTAGAGTGGCCCTAAAAAATAATATAAACATGTGCCCCTTTCCAGCCAACGCCACTCATTTAATGCAGCTACTGGATGTGGCTGTATTTGCACCTCTTAAGAGGAAGTGGCGCGAAATATTAAAAAACTGGTGAAGAGAGAGCAGATATTCTGGGACTTTACCCAAAGAACACTTCCCCTCGTTACTTTTAACTCTGTGGAACAAAATTTCAGACACTGTAAAAGCAAATTTAATATCTGGATTCAGAACAACAGGATTGTACCCAATGAATGTTAATGAAGTGTTAAGAAAAATTCCTGGAGAATTGCCTGAAAATGTGGAGGAAACTGCCCAAGTGCCCGATTCAACGTTGGTGGAGTTTTTCAAAGAAATTAGGGGAACAAGCGAAGACCAAAAAAAAGGGAAAGAAGTTCGTAGCTGGAAAGCAGATAAGTGTTGAAGACAAGTCAATCCTCAGTGATGAAATCCAAAATGCAGCAGAATCTCAAACCCCCGCAACAAACAGCGACGAAGAATTGCCTTGTTTCTCTGAAAGCACTTCAGGGCCATCGAGAATACCATCAAAAGTGGTTACAAACAAAGCCAAAAAATCTAAATTTCGTCCCATTAACATAACAAGAACAAGTTTGCGAGGAACAAGCGATTTAAACGATAAATGTGACATTTGCCTCACGCTTTTTAAAAACTACAGAGCATGGGGCGACTGAATTGAATGTGTGCAGTGCAAAAAGTGGATTTGTGGTATTTGCAATTCAGAAAGCACCGATCCATTTTATGTGTGTCATGCTTGAGAAGACTCAGACGACGATCAGGATGAACCATTTTCCGATAACAGCGAGGATGATAAAACCTTTAATCCTTAAATTGTGATTTATCTTTAGATTCCAAAGGATTTTTTTTACTATTTTAAAACGTTTTTTACATATTTACATGTTAAACGTAGGTAGGTTAGGAAATAAATGTTTTCTTAGTTTTTTATCTTTAGTTTCTACATGCCAAAGGATTTTTTGTTACCGTTTTTGATGTACAAACGTTTTTTTTTTTATTTTATTTTTATATGTTAAACGTAGGCTAAGATATGTTTCCTTGAGTTCTTGTTTTATTCAAAGAGTAAGAAAATAAGAATGTTTTATTTTTGTAATAATAAACTTGTTTTTCTTTGTAAAAAAAATATTAAATTTTTATGCCATATTTTTTAATTTCGCGTTAATCAACGGGGCTTTTTTTAACACTGGGACGCTTAAAATGCAGTTGCAGTTAAATTTAACAGGTATGTCAAAGTAGCCCCAAACACCGGGTAACTTTGATATACCCATTTTTATTTTATTTCTTTAAAGTTATTATTTTAAGAGCAATTTGGAATGCAGCAATGGATTCAGTAGGCCAGATTTGTTATAATCCCGTTTATTTAACAACATTTGGTTAATAAATAACGGAGTAGTATTGAAAAATGTCTTAAAAGGGTGTCAAAGTAGCCCCGTTTGACGGTACCTTCTTCATTCATATCTTGGTCAAAATTAGGTTTGTAATTATTTTCTTTTGATTTGGACACTTTCCACTAAGTGACCAAATCTGTTTTTAATGTGATTGTTTTAAACGATTTCTATTTAGTCATGCTTACATTTTTCGGTAAGTTTTCACGGACAAAATACTGTCAAGGATTTGTTTGCTCCTATTTATTGGCTTTCCCGTTTACTGTTTTAAAAGCAATTATCAAATTAAACTCGTTTGTTGTTAATGGTCCTTGCAATGAGCTGGCAAACTATTGTTCACTGCGACCCTCACTAAAATAGTGTTTACAAACAAATGATGTGTTAAACCTGTGGGATACGGTCCAAAGATGCCAACTTAGATTTTTTTTGTTTTTATACTTAACTAATGCATTGTATAACAACAATCTATATCTAAGCTCTTCTAGGTTTCACTTAAATCATGAACTAATTTAGATTTATAATTGAACAGCAAAGGCTGTGCAAAATACGTGTAACACACAAATCATTTTCTAATTCGAGTGTTAGATATAACAAGCAATCGAGAAAAAAAATGTAATTAGAGGCTGTGAAATTTAAACGTAAACGAGAAATTCTTTATGGACACTCGGTGGTGGTCTCCGTAGTAGTATGGAACTAGCATGCTTTGCTCTACTAACATCTCCGTATCGTTTTGTCTACATGCATCGAATGCTAGCAGGGTTTCTTCAGTCTGGTGCATGCGTTTCCCTTTCTCTTCATGATCTCTCGCGCTACCATGATGTCTCTATAGCTGCCCAGGATTCGGAGTTCCTAATTATAGATTAATAATGTTATCCGATGTCACAGTTTGCCCAGCGTCACTTCTGATGTGTGCCTTTCAGCTATCCGTCTCATGCACCTGAAGAAGGTATGCTCCACTGTATTCACTTCATCACAGTACCTGCAGAGATCATCAGCACTACTACTTCTTCTATAGGAGACGGCACAGATAAATTACAGATAAATTTTACTATTTCACAATTAAATATCAGTAATATTAATATATCTATATATAATTCACAAAGACGCCGCCGACGTTCAGCTTAGAAGACACAGTACTCTTCGAACTGTTGGCTCGATTAATTATAACACCTTAATTTTACCATTTCCTATTAGTTGAATTGAGCCTTTCTCAAATTTCTATTTGAAGTAGCTCACGATAGCCCGTAAAAAATGCCCGTGCACATGGACTGGGATATCCAATAGTAATTCTGTGACTTTGTTCAACTTATGACTAAGCATAGATGGACAATATTTGTTTATCCAGTGTTGTATTCACATTACTGTTTGGATTTATAATAAATTTAAGGAATATACTTTTTTAGTTTTTGTTGATCCTGTAAATATAAGGTAAATGCCACATTAACCCTACATTATTCTATGCAGAACCCATCAAAGTTTCTTCTGAGAGTAAAGAAGAATTGGAGGAGGACGAGGAAGAGAAGTGGGATGATATTAACCAAAAATTTGGGATGTAGAGGTCACCCATATTCGAAATATGTACTACCAATTAAAATTGAAAAATAATAGATCTAATTACGGTGTCATAGAAAAAATACACATTTGACAAAAATTTCAAACCAAAAGTTATTACGAGTAAGGAATATCTTCCAAGAAAAAAGCGGAATCAAAGACCCCTAGTTAGTATAGATCACTGCATGATGGAGAATATTAGAAGAAAATTTTGTAATTTTATTTTAATAGTATCGTATCGTATTTTCAAATGATTAAAAATTAAATAAAGTTGGTTCCCGGTTTTCCTTACAAATCTGACAAAATTACTTGAAAAGTGCTCCAGTCTTTGGGTTTTAGATATCCTACCTTAAATAGAAGACATCACATTAGGGAACCTTAAAGAATTATAATTTTACATAATGAATGTTTTTTTCTCGAAAATCTGGAAAACATTTTCCTGAGGCCGCCATTTTGTTAAATAAAAAACAAACAACCGAAGGTTGGAACAGGATCAACACAAACAGCCATTACTTTTAAAATATTTTTTTTTGCTAAAATTTCTGTCAAATCGAAATGATGCTTTTACTTTTATAAAATAAAATAATTTAAGGGCAAAAAAATTATTTAAAATTGTCATTTTTTCATGTCTCTGACTACCTACACCTAACCCCTTAAAACTAAATTTAGTGATATTTATAAAATAATCGAAGAAGCGTAACATACAACTAATTAGGTCCGTCCCTGGGTTGCCGTTAAACGTGTTTTTATACGATTCCCTTTGTTCTGCCGAAAGATAAAGAATATCTTTTACATACTTTGATTTTCTTTACTATACGGTGCAAGAGAGAGGTCCGACACGCCCAACATAGGGCGCGGCCATTTTGATTCCTACGCCACAGTTTATAGCTAAAGAATCAGATCGCTCAATCTGCGTCGGCACTTTTGATCTCAATGTTCCAGTTTATACACTGCACAGCTAGGATAATATAATATATTACAAACGCCTATAATAAAACAGCAGTCTTCTGCGTATCCTGAATTTGTATCCCTGGAGTGGATGTTATTTTGGAACTTTCAACTGATCCGAGTGAGCTAACTGACTCTTTAGCAATAAACTGTGACTTCAAAAATATTATTCACTGACACTGACAGCAGCAAGCAAAATCAGGTGCGTTTTAATCATCCGCTTTTACTTCCGGAATTGTCGGTTTAGTCGTTTTAACCTGTCAGATTAAAACAAGAAAACCGACAATTCCGAAGCAGAAGCGGATGATTAAAATGCACCTATTAAAAATATTGCGTAAAGATGTAGGCAACATGTAATAAGGGATCAAAATGGCGGAGTTTTCTCTCCTTTTAAAAGGCACTCAGAAAGCTGCGCAGTGCGACCATTCTCCGTATAGTAAAAGAAAATCAAAGTATGTGATAGCTTTACTTCGAACTATGTATGTCTGATTTTTTTTACAGAACCGTATCTATTAATTTTGTTATGGTTTAAAATATGTATGTTTTTAACATCCTTATTTTCTCAAGGATGTGAGTATTCTATACTATCCCAACTTTTAAATACGACTGTACCTGGTGATAACTTATTAACTTTTATTGATAGTTTTAACTTCGGTACCTATTCTCTATAATAAAAAAATAATATATGGAGATGTATATTTACAATGTAGTGGTTTTATTTACCCTTTTTATTTTGTCGCCCCATTGTGCCAAAATAGCATCATTATGCGTTTTGAATGTTTGTAGTCTTTGTTTAATGGTTTTAATGTTGTCATCAGCTCTTCCTGATGTCAGCCCTCGCTCTAGCAACCTTTCTATCAATATCTGATCGGAGGCTTCGAAATATACAGCTATGGTCAGAGGGCCGACGTTATTTTCGAAATCTATGCCCTGCTGCTTCTCCCTTGGATAGCCGTCAATCAAGAATCCTTTGGCAGTGGGAAGAGCTCTCACCATGGCTTCTCTTAGGATAGATAAAACTGTTTCGTTTGAAACTAGCTCGCCTTTTTTCATTGCCTCTTGAAGTTCTACTCCTAGCTCCGAACCGCTTTCTACCTGTAGAAATAATATAATTTGGATTAAACATAAAAAAATAAGATATACTCTCTTCAGGTAAGGTAAGTTTCCGTAAATACCTCACAATTTTGACACATGTAGAATGAAAATTGGATTGATGTTCTGAAAAACTAGTGGCTATTGATCCTGATATATCCCGATAGCCGAATTGGTAAGGCAATATGCGTCAAACACAAAGTGGATTCGAATCCCATTCAGGGACAGAGTTTTTATTTAATTAATTTGTTTTCACTTAGGGGGTTCAAAAATAGTTTTAAAAATTTTTATTTGGGGATTTATATATGTTGGAAGGAATTTATATACCTTTGTGTTCAATACCCGATAGTATTTCGGAATTTTAAACAGATTTTTATTCAACATCATTTATTGATAAATATAATTTTTTTTGAGTCGGTTTTGTTCACAGTTCTCCCACTCAGTTACCATATCTTTAGAAACTGGCAACCATGTTACAAAAAAAAACAGGTATGACGAAATCTTATCGAGTTCGCGCACGAAGTATTGTGGTGTGGATTAAAAGGTTTTATTATTCAAAAAGTGACATCAGTGAAAAATTAAAAATACAATATCAGTCAAAAAAATGATAATTTAACTCAAAAAAAGTCGAATAACGATCAGGGTAAGGGGTGGTCTTTATACGTTCGTGTTTATTTTTTCAACAGTTTTCGATCAGCTGATACACAATACGTCACCACGACGTATAGTATCACTCTGCGTAACGTCATACCTTCTTTTTATAGTATCCGGCAGGCAACATTCGTGCAGTTTAAAAACCGGTGTAAATTTTTATTGTATTCGGATTCGAATTTATGTATTTATCGAAATTAAATATTTTTAAAATACTCATATACTAATAATAAAACTTACCTCAGCTCGAAGTAAATCACCGGTGGATAAGTGAGTGAGTTCATATCTTTCTACTATTTTTTCACATTGAGTACCCTTTCCAGAACCTGGTCCTCCCAAAACCCAAACAATTGGTACATTGAGCCCAGGAATTGGAGCCTGTAAATAACAAAATAAATATATAAATATTATGGCATAATTGAAATTTTTATACCGATATAATGACCTTTAGAATTATATTATTCATCATAAAAGTTTCAAAACTAATATTAATCTAAACAGAAATTGAATATCTATTTGCTTTGGTGAAATAATCAAAATTAAAAAAAAAATAAGGGAGAGTGGGGGAATCGTGCGCGTCGGGTAATCATGGGCATCAAAATATTTCATATTTCTCGGGCTTTTGAGCGCCACCGACTAATGCTGCGCTCTCTCCTTTCTACTGTGCATCTAGACGGCCATTACTCATATCCGTTGTTTACGTTTGCACGAAACGAGCCCTGTTTATTTGAAATCCAGCCAGTTTCTGTAATTTTTTGACATCGGAAAATAAGACGGTGAATCCACTTTTTTCCTTAATCCATAAGATCTATTTACTTTATGGAAAAGTATGATCTTTCGAATCTATTGATGCTTGTTTTACATTGTTAGGTTATGTAGTTTGCTAACTGTATTACAGATTGTCATTTAATGTCTAAAGGGGTAATGATGCGCGCTAATGCGCACCATTACCCCACACATAATCTAATTTTACATAATTTTTTTTTTCAGATGCCGAGAAATTATACAAAGAAAACAACAATTCTATCATACAAGGAAGAAGATTTACAAAACGCATTATTTTCGATAAGAAATGATGGCAGAAAAATAAGGTATATAGGAAGGGCCTTCAATATTCCTGAATCGATACTTACAAAAAGAGCCAGAGCCTCCTCGTTTGGGTTGTAAGCCTGTGTTTTCAGAGGAAATAGAATCTGAGTTAAGAGAGTACGTTTTAACGCTAGAAAGGCTATATTATGGCTTAACACCCAGGTGTCTTAGGCGACTAGCTTTTAGATATGCTGAGCAACATGACATTGCCCATAAATTCGACAAGGAAAAGGGATTAGCTGGGAAGAACTGGCTGTATGGATTTTTAAGGAGATCACCTGATATAAAGTTTGAATAGGATTGTATCTTTTAATAAGTACTAATCCAAATTATTTTTTTCAAACCTTCAAACTATCATGGAAAGGTTTAAGTTAAACCTAAGAGTTTTTACAACATGAACGAGACAGGCATCACCACGGTGCAGAACAAATGCCCTAAAGTTTATGGTTGTAAGGGACCTAAAAAAGTAGCAATTTCTGGCGAGAGAGGAAGAACAATAACAGCTGTATTTTGTATGAATGCGCCTGAGAACTACATCCCTCCCATAATAATATATCCTAGGAAAAGGATTCCCAAAACTCTCGAGAGAAATGGACCAATTGGGGACGTTATACAAATGTTCTAAAAATGGTTGGATTAATTCCGGACTTTTTCTTCAGTGGCTGGGTCACTTTTAGAGGCATGCTAAGCCTACTGTTACTGATCCTGTCCTTCTGACCCTGGATAACCATTCCAACCCCATTTTAATTGCAGCTTATAATTTCTGCAAAGAAAATAACATCCATATGGTCTCGCTTCCTCCACACACATCCAATCATCTTCAGCCTCTGGATCTGACATTTCTTAGCCCTCTGAAAAATGCACTATTTAGGGAATATGATCTTTACTTGTCAAGTATCGGTCATCAAAAAATAACAGTACGACGTAGCCGAACTTTTAAACAAAGCCTTAATAAAAGTGGCTACAATGGAAAAAACAGTTTTAGGGTTTCGGCCGTCTGGAATATCTTCATTGGATCCCGACAATTTACCGATGCTGATTTTAAACCTGGCCACTAAGTAGGAAAATTTACAATAGAAGCAACACCTGAACTTCATCCAGTCAAGATGGTGCAGCAATTCTTCCAGATAATCACATAGATTTACAACATCAGAGAGATCCGGGCCCTCAGCCATCTACGTCTTATGATAATTCATTCTTTGCTATGGCTCCAATACCAAAAACAAAAGTTAACCAGACAGCGAAAAGAAGATCTAGGAACAAACCGAAATCGGAAATTCTTACGAGCACTCCCATCAAAATAAAACTAGAAGAAGCTGAAGAGAAAAAAAGACAACGATAAGAAGCAATCAAAACCAAAGAAAAACTGAAAGAAGAATAGTAAAGGAGTTATTCGTTAATGTTTGGACGGTGAATTATCAATTCCGTCGTCTTTAAAGAAATTCAAAAGCAAACAAAAGAGACTGCCAACGCCTGAATCATCTGATTCATCAGAAGATGATGTGTCGGATATTTGTGACGTCGATGAGCTGGATGATATTGAAGATGATGTTGGGCTGAGCTTCGTACCGCCACCTTTGAATCAGCCAGGGAAACTAACCGAAGTTTGTGGTATTTGCGGTGAATTTGGCAAACAACGAGAATTATGGTACAAATGTGCCCTTTGCTCAACTTGGAACCATGCCGAATATACTCGCTCAGATACCCCGAAAAATTATAAATGTGACCTATGCTCAAATTAGGAGTTAGTGTAATGTTTTTTTATGTTCTACAATTTCAATAAATGTTTTTAAAGTTAGTGTTGGTTTTATCTTATACTTAATATTTTTAATGCGCACGATTCCCTAACACTTGCGCACTATTACCCGGAACGGCAAGAAATGGCGCGCAAGAGCACTTTTGTACTTTCAGCAGTATTGTACTTTAAATATTTAATTTTTTCCTAAAATTGATTTACGTGGTGAGAGTAGACTAAATAGCACCTCCATTACGGTATTTACATTTAAATTATCTACAATGCTATCAGTGCTATAGCGATTTTCGCTTAAGTGCGCACAATTCCCCCACTTTCCCTTATATGTAAACATTTGTCTATCACAAATTAAATCAAGTCATCGTATGGCTTTATATTAATTGACAATTAAAACAATTTGTTAACATTCGTTATTTGGAAAACGATGTTGAAATTTTATAATAAAAAATAGGGGAGGAAGATAATTCTATTTCTTAATTTAACATAAAAAATGTTTATAAATTATTTTTACTGGGGCTTTCCATGTTGAACAATATACCATGAAACAAAAACTTTATTTTTTTGTATTATTTATGTTGAAAAATATAAAATAAATAAAACAAAATGTTACTAAAGCAAATAGATATTCAACTTTTGTTTTAATTACAATTATTTTTGAAACAAGCAAAACAAAAACTTTTCTCTAAAAAATTCTCTTCTCCTTTTAGTCCATATTTTAAAACTAATATATTAAGAGATTTATACTTAAAACTAATATTTATATTTTATACGGGATTTTTTTCACTTTCCTATCTGTATACAGATATAAGGAAAGTATAGGAATCATGATTTTTTTCGACCTCGAGTTTTCGACGGATTTTTACGTTTTGAGGTCCCCTGAATCCGTTTTGACTATTTTCGCGATGATGTCTGTGTGTGTGTGTGTGTGTGTGTGTGTGTGTGTGTGTGTGTCTGTGTGTGTGTGTCTGTGTGTGTGTGTGTGTGTGTGTGTGTGTGTATGTCTGTATAACGCATAACTCATGAACCGATACACAGAAAAACACCAAATTTTAAACTTAAGCTTTGTTTCAGCGTCTAATGAGCTGATTAGATTTTGGGCAGAGTCGGAACATGTGGGGGGGTACTTTATAGGTGGTCATTTTTATATTTTATGGAATATATCTGTTATTTACGTTTGGAGAAGAAAATTCTTCAAATAAAAGTTACTTCTAATATAATTATCTATAATTTTTGTTTTATTCAAAATTTTCCTAAAATGGTCCGTATTCGAGAAATTTGACAAAATGTAAAAAAAATAATTTTTTATAAAAATTGTTCAAATAAAAGTTGTTTGTAATATAATTCTCTATAATTTTTGTCCTATACATAATTTCTCTAAAATGGACCGTATTCGAGATATTTGAGAAAATGTGTAAATTTCGAAATTTGAAGAAAACTCAAAAACGGATAAAGGAAAAAACATTAAATTTTAAACTTAAGGTTTATTTCGGCCTGACGTGAAATGATTGGATTTTGGACAAAGTCGGAACATCTGGGGGGGTACTTTATGGGAGGCTGTTTTTATATTTTATGGAATATATCTGTTATTTATGTTTGGAGAAGAAAATTGTTCGGAAAAAAGTTACTTCTAATATAATTATCTATAATTTTTGATTTATGTCAAAATTTCCTGAAATGGTCCGTATTCGAGAAATTTGACAGAATGTGCAAAATTCTGATTTTTATGAAAATTGTTGAACTAAAAGTTGTTTGCGATATCGATTTCTATAATTTTTGTTTATACATGATTTTTCTAAAATGGACCGTAATGGAAAAGTGCTAAATTTAAATTTTTCAGTATTTTCGTTTTCAATGAATATCTATAAGAAAATGTTTCGAGGTAAATGTATGGGTAAAATGTATGTGTAACATGTATATATTTAGTTTATCCTCTAAACATTTATAGAGATGCTGCAATAGGTTGTACAAAATAACCGGAAAATGCCTATAATAACTAGATAGGAAAGTCATGTGTTGGACACATCAGATTTTTATATTAGTCTTTGCACGAAATGAAGAAATAATTGTAGGTAGATATTAAAATATACGAAAATAAAAAGTTTATACATTAAAAAGAAGTAAATTCTAAAGATTATAATAATACTGTCATAAAATTTTATTAATATAGAAAAAGTTACGACATAATTTTGTAAGTTGAAAAACAAAATGTTATCGCATTCTTAAAAATTTATTGAGTAAAAATCGGCACAAATAGATATCGTAGGCAGCCTTAATTCCAATTTATTGGAACCTATTTTAAAATTCATATATTTAATAAACCAAAACATTTTTTTTTAAAACACCATTAAAATAGTTTGAGATGAGCCAAAATAAAAGTATATAAATGTGTATGAGAAACTAGATCTCCGTGCTTAGGTATCAAGATATGATCAACTATTTTAAGAATTTCATATTTTTATCGACTGAATACCTATATCAATCATTTTTGACTGGGCTAATGAGAAAATTGATGGACTTCACCTGTTGTTGTTGCTGC